TTTGGTAAAAACCAAGTCCTCAAGGTCGTAAATCACGTGCGTACGGTTTTGACCGTTTTTCACGTGTTAGACCGATTGACCAAGATACAAAAGTGGTTTTTACAAAATAATTATTCGGGAACCTTTAAAATATGCTCAGAGATAAAAACAGGGTTTAAAATATTGAAAACCACGGAGTTGGTTCGGGCGCCAAAAAACCAAACGCCGAAAACCGAACGACGAAAGCCGAACGCCGACTTAGGTGGTTTTGGTTCTGAGCAAGGACCAGGGATTTTTAATAATAAAAGAAGTCATCAAAAAATGTTTGTTTTGATGCACAAAAAATGTTTTATGGTTTGTAAAAATTGTTTTGACTTTTTGAGAACCGGGACTTGAATAAATTGTCGGTTTTGATCACAAAAGACCGACTCGACTAAGTCTTCAATTCTTGATCTTGTCCTTGAGTCTTTTAGGTCTTGTTCCAAGCCATTCTTCACGCCTTGAGTTATTCAACGAACCTTTCATATCCACGGCGGTTTGGCAATTATCAAAACCTGTCAGAAATGAACACGACTTTAGTTTAACGTGCAAAGTGTGTTCCAACAATTTCCCCCTTTTTGATTATGGCAAACAAGACAGGGATATGCATAGGGTTTTGATCTTTTTGAAACAAAATTCCCCCTGAAAATATGCATAGCCCTTATCTTCCCCCTTTTGACATTAACAAAAAGATTGTTAACAACAAAAATCATAAAGATTTTTATTAATTAATTAAGGGAAAAGGCGGAGTACATAGCAAAAGCATTAAAAATTATAAAATAAGGAAGAGAAGAAAGTAGAGCTAGAGCTCTAGAAATCCGGGGAAAGATCATTGAGAAGTTGTTCTTCGTCAATGTCTTCTTCTTCTTCTTCTTCTTCATCGCCATCATCATCATCATCATCATCATCGTCACCATCGTCCACCTCGTCTTCTCTTCCAACGTTTTGAGTCCCACTTTGTTCACCTCCGAAATTCGTTGGAGGAACGTAAGGGACCATTTGAGCGTACGGGTAATTGACAAAGTCAAAATACCCGTGAAGTTCACGACTCAAGGTATTGACGTTGTGCGCCGTTTTGGAGACGTTGGTGTCAATCCGAGAGAGAGTGGCGGTTAAGGCTGCCATTTGCTCGGCGAGAGAAGGATTGGTCGATGTGGTGGCGGCTAAGGCAGTGGCTCTCGGTTGGCAGCGTGGACGAGGCTGTCGAAACGGAGTCTCGTCGGTGCGTGAGTAGAAAGAAGACTCATCAATCTCCCAGTGCTTTGTCCCCTTTACCTTTGGCCCAACATCGGTTTTGATGTTGTATTCTTCAAGAATTGCCATGACAAGGAGGGCATAGGGGAGCGGCCGATTGTCGGAGGTGGCCGTGAACATGTGAGTCATCACAAATTTACACCAATTGAGATTGGCGTTGTGAATCATCGCATGGATC